GACTAACAAAAAGCAACCGATATTAAACATATTTTCCACTTCTCACTTAAGTTTCTTTTTAAAGATCCAGGACACTAATCCCAAAGTATGTTTAAATCTGCTGGGACCTTTTGTATTCTAAATATATTCAAATCTCTCCAGATCCATCCAAATCTGTTCAGATCCATTCAAATCCATCCAAATCCTTTCAGATCCATTCAAATCCATTCAGATCCGTTCAAATACATTCAGATCCCGGATATCAGCCCCAAATCTGTTATAAAGTGGAGATTGACCCCCCCCCACCGAGAACTAAAACGGAAACACCCAGAGATGAGCACCTTGCCCTATAATCTGTAAAAGGAGTGTGTTAAGTGGTGTAACCTGCCTTTCAGCAACTTCTAGTGGTTAAATATAATAAAGCCCAACATTCACTTTACAATCAACAAGTAACAATTGATTTATCTGACTCTACCAGTGAACAAATCAACTAAACTATTACCAAACTGAATAAATCCCTTCTAACTACTAACTATTCCTGAATAAAACAGGATTCTAATACTATGCTGTTCCAATAAATAGAAGTCCCAGATAAAAAAAATTTAGTCTCTTGAAATTACAGTCAGGTTGTACATCTTCTGGAATGTTATGTGCCATCTCCATCAAATGTTCTGTCAGGAATATTAACTAATTGTGCCGTTGGTACTTTTTATATAGATCATACTTTCTTAAGACTTAGAGAAGAGCCAATAATTTTCTCGTGTGAACTGAGAGATGTTGACTCTAGCAGATGGCATTTGCTCTCTTGTCTTTGTCCAACTGCCCTCTCCTTTTATACCTTTGATGACACATCAATTTCTTACAATAGGTTTGGTCCTATGTTGTCAAAGCCATCAGATTTAAATTTAATTGGTTTTTGGTACCTAAGTGCCTGATTCAAATTGATTGGCTAAATTCAAATTGTGTTGTCTTGGTCACAAAACAAAACTGCTGCTTGGCCAGTTAACTGTGTGGCCTTTTGATACAAGTATTTCAATTTGAGTGCTATCTGTTGCACCTGCAAACCCACAAGCTGCTGCCCACAGACATCCTTTTTTGAATCTCTGAGCATAAAAAAACACATCATCTTTTAAAGGGACCACGCAATGCCACCCCCACCCCTAGAATTTTATAAACACCAAGTTCTAACTTCCTGCTTTTCAATCCACAAGTACTCTACCCAACTTCATAGCACCTTCTGTGGCATTAGAGACATTGTATGCTTTCTTGACCATTGTGTCAATGTGGATGGACCAGGATAGATCATTGGCCATCATCACCCCTTGGATCCTAACGCTCTCAATCATCTCCACCTCAGCACCATTGGTACAGACAGGACTGTGCCCTCCACTCCACTTCTTGAAGTCAATGACCAGCTCCTTCATTTTGCTGACATTGATAGAGAGATTGTTGTCTTTAAACCTGCCACCAAGCACTCAATCTCATTCCTGTATCCTGTCTTGCTGTTGTTTGAGATCTGACCTACAATGGCAGTGTGTCAGCAAATCTGTAAATGGAATTGGGGCTGAATTTGATGAAACATTTATGAGAATGTAAGGAATATAGTAGGGGCAGCGGTGTTGAGGATTATGGTGGAGGAGGTGCTGTCGCCTATTCTTACTGATTGTGGTCTATGGATCAGAAAGTTGAGGACCCAGTTACAGGGGGAGATCTGACACCTAGGTTTTGGAATTTAGAGATGAGTTTGTTTGGAATTATGGTGTTGAAGGTGGAGCTGTAGTGAATAAATAGGAGCCTGGTGTAGGTACCCCTGTTATTCAGTGTTCCAGGGATGAGTGTAGGGACATGTGAAATTCAGACTTATGCCTACAGATGATGATCCAAAGAATAAGTATGAGAAGGAGAAAGATGAGAGGGTCAAGGAGACTCTAGATAACATGGGAGACATCATACTCTGGTTGCAGTCACAGAAAAGTTTGTTCAAGATCGACGAGTGTCATTTTAGTTCAGCATTGGTGATTTAGGAGGGATGCAAACTTGATTAGAGAGATTCAAGCATGTATCTTGGAAGGTGAATAACAATATTTGAGAAAAGAAATGGTGTTTGCTTGCTTATGGAGTCATGAAAGAAAGTTGAGTCTTCAGTAATTTTATGATAATAGATTCAAGGGAGCAGAAAGTATACTTTATGAAAGAAACAAATTAAGAGAGAATGGAAAGAACAAACAAAGTTCAAGGTGGAGGCAAGTGGCACATTTCACTCCATACAAAGATACAAATCAGGAGCAGGAATAGGCCATTCAGCCTCTTGACCCTCCTCTATCATTCAATAAGATCATGACTGATTATGACCTCAAATCTACATTCCCACCTCCTGATAATCCTACAACCCCTTGCTTACCAAGAATCTATCTACCTCTGCCTTCAAATTATTCAAGGACCCTACTTCCACCGCCTTTTCAGGGAGATAGATCCAGACACCCTCAACGTTCTCAGAGAAAAATATTTGCCTAGTCTCTCTTTTAAATGGCGAACTATAGTTTTTAAACAGTGGTCCCCAGTTCTAGATTCTCCAATAAGAGGAAACATCCGCTCCACACCTATCCTGTCGTAACCCTTCAGGATTTCACATGTTACAACTAAATCATGTCTTACTCTTCTATACTCCAGTGGGTACAAGTCTAGACTTTCCAACTTTTCCTCATAAGACAACCCATCCATTCCGGATATTAGTGTAGAAAATCTTCTCTGAAATGTCTTTAACATGTATACACATTCATGAACTACAGAGTGCAAAGACAGCTCATTGTATGGTCTTTACTTTGGATACAAAGAAGTTCTTGATCTCCTACAGAAGTGTGGTTGACTCTTAAATGCCCTCTGAAATGGCTGAGCAAACTATTCAGTGCCAGGGCAATTTGGGGTGGACAACAAATGTAGTCCCTGCTAGTGACTCACATCCCGTGACAGAATAAAAGAAAACAGAGTTGTTGACTCGAGCCAATGCATTGAGCTCGAGACTGACTAAAGCTGCATTTTTTCACCTTGCCATTTGACTTGATTTGAACAAAATTGATTTTGTAACACTCTTTGAATTCAATTGTCTTTTTAGACTCAGCACCACATAGCAGATCAATGTTTCAGTGCAAATCCTGAAATGTGAAATCCATCACAATTCTTGTTCGCCTCCTGCCTGGTCACACCCATTGCCAGCACTGATTGGTTGCTTTGGAGACTGGTCTGCCATATGCATAGCAGAGATTGGCCCAGCGGCTTGTCAGTTATGGACAGTGTAAGCAGCAAATTCCCTGTTCCCAACTTTCTCATTGACCTCATGAGAGTACAGGTCAGTTTGTTAGTGTCAGCGAAAACACCCAGAGGCAGAGGATACAAATTCCAATGCATGAGTTAAATAAAAGATTTCAGCCTGGTTTTCAACAGCATGTGCTAACCCCACTGAAACCCAAACATTAAAACTTTCCATGGCCACCCTTTACCCTTCTGTCAATTCCCCCAATACAACCCTTGCATAACTACCTTCGTCTCTTCCACGGCCTACACTGAAATTTCTGTAGCCACCCGCAACCCTGCCGTGTTTGTCCCAGGTCCTTCATTCGCTGCTCCTACCTGATGCGTCCATGATCATTCATGAACCTACATTAGCTGTTTCTAGCCCTTCTGTGGCTACCCTCTGCCCTTCCAGTGCTGCCCTAGCTGTTCCAAGGCAGCCCCCAGAACTTTATCGTCTCCCCACTACTTGACTTGCAGCATCCTTTGAAATAAAGCAAAAGGAGCAAGAGAACACATTATTTAAAAAAAAAATGACTTGTGTCTTGACTTTGCAGAAAATGACTCCTTGACTTGACGGAAGGAAAAAATGACTTAGTTTCAATTCTATTTTCCATTGGTCCTATTGTTTAGAAAAAAAACTTTTCCAAAATTTGAGGAAAAGGAAACAACTGCAGAGAGATTCCCGAAGGATAGAGCACAAGGAAACTCACAGATAATTGTCAACAAATAATGAAAGACCAAAGGAACTGTTAAAGGTGTCAGATCTGCAACCATAAATGTAATTGCCATTAATGGTAGAATGCAAGTTAATATAAACTGAAGCCAGAAAGACTATTAATTGACTGAGCAATTACTCATTCTGTGTCAAAACGTAGCATGTTTTATTTTGATTTTAAAAAGTCTTATCTGCCCAAGCATTCATTTCTTTTCAGCATTTTTAATAATAGAGCAAATGTGTGAGAGAAGGAACTCTTCTTCTTATCTCTACATAGGAACAAGAAGCAGTGTGAATTTCAGCACACACAGGGGGTCAGTAAAAGATGCATTTGCAGAATTATAAACAAAGCACAGAGTGCCACAGGCCAAAAAGATTGAAAGTGGGGTAAACACTAAGAAATCGGCATTGTCATCTTGTGGGTAGATGCAGCTCAAAGTAAACAAATAGCAGAAATATGTTTTATACTAATTGTTAGATAAAAATTGTCCGCCCCAAACAAAAAAAACACTTTGGTCCTGAAAACCAGGTTGGACTATTTGCATATCATTGTAATTTAATATTGTAGAACAGTTATATAAAATGTTGCTGTTATTCATTAATGTGAAATCTTGTTATTAGAATAATTACACATTTGTAAATCACAGAACTAACAACGCATTATATTACCAGAGCTATTATGCCCTCATTGTGCCTTAGTCAAACTGTTTCAGTACTAAGGCATTGAAATTACATAACACTATTACTGACAATTTTGCTCTGGATGGCTGATGAGGAAAATGGACAAGATCGAATCAGGGCAGTACATTTTTTTTAAGTTGGGGCGGAATGGATAGTGATTTACCAAGTGCCTTGAAACTGACCTAGGTTAGTGTTGATGCTTGGCAACCAAAATGGAAAGTGTTCCATTTCCTCGCTCCGGTGTAATTTATTTTGACCAACACAAGCTTAACATGGAAAATGTAAGTAATGAGATTCTCCTAAAGTCACACGTTTATTTTCCATATCTTTTCAGTAAATTTGCTGCGGATATGTACGACCCAGCTTGGGAAAACAGAAGGCAAAACTCAGGAGAAACTTGCATGAAAATGGTCAAACAATACTTGGTTCCACTGAAAGATTATTTTAAAAGTTACTTTTAAGATCATGTACACTATTCCCTTTATGGTTGGCTGGTTTTGCTTGTAAAATCACATTTCAACTTGTTCAACATTTTGTATATCTTTGCAGATTATATTTGCTGATCAGCATCATTTAGGATTGAATGTTTAATGTGCATGGACTGAAATTCTGTGTTTGCATCTTTATGTAAAATTCAACCCTTTCGAAATGATCAGATTAACATCTGGCTTAATAAAGCACACAGAGAAATAGTGGATTAGGGGTTCGTCCCTAACTTTGCTGATCAGAAGGTAGACCACTATTTTATAAGACTGTGATTCAAAATAGCTATACAATATTACATTGGAATGTTTTTATAGAACAAAGGCTCCACTGTGCAACTTTTTTTTATTGCTGATTGAACACATTTTTATTTTACTTTTTTTTATTTTCTTGATTGTTGCATGGCAAGCTTACAAATAAATATCAGTAAATTTAAAGTATCACACAGTTGATTCTTTTCCAGCCGAAGTAAATGGGGCACAGTTTCCACTGGAGGCACAATTCACCCAAAATTGGCAAAATCAGTGCAAATAATGGAGGAATTCTAAGGACCTTATGCCCAATGCAGATGATGTTTTTCAAATGGTTTGAAAAGGGACCCAACCCAGCCTAGACATCTGGCCACGCTCACCACTTGGGTGAACCATGATGACAAGCTTCTTTTAACTGTTCCTGTTTGAATCTCTACAACTCTAGCCTAAAAGTCACTAATAGACAACTTTTAAGTTTTAAATGTTAAAAATGTTGGACTTGCCATGGAACCGAGCACTGAACATAAATGTAAATAATGGTTCTGTATAGTCTTAAAGTTACTTGTAGTTATGCAAAATTATGCTGCAAACAGTGAACTACAAATATTAAAATTGTGATTAAACGCGTTGTAACTCTATTAGTAAAACTGAACAAAGTTTGCACTCTTAATTATATTTTAATGCAAAAATATGAGCAATTGCATTCTGAAGCCTGAACTGCCTGATTTCAATATAGAAAAGAATCAGAGTTAATGTTTCAGGTCCAGTGATCCTTCCTCAGAACTGTTCCTCAGAACTTACTGATTTTTTTCTTCTCAGATGCTGCCGGACCTGCTGAGCTTTTCCAGCAAATTCTGTTTTTGTTCCTGTTTTACAGCATCCGCAATTCTTTCGGTATTTATTTTGCCTGATTTCAATTTCATTTGAGATTTTATGTTTGAGATTGTGCAAATAGGTTTGAGCGAAAACTTAAGACTTCAACTGCACTTTGAAAAATTAAACATTTCTGAGTACAATTTGTGCCTGAATTACTGGTTCTGGCCCAAATGGACATTCATTTCTAATGTCACTGCAAATTCATCAATTACCTTAGCTTCAAAATAAGGTCAGAAGTGGGAATATTCACTGATGATTACCCAATGTTCAGCACAATTTGTGACTCCTCAGGTACTGAAGCAGTCTATATCCTCACAGAGCAAGACCTGGACAATACCAAGGTTTGGGCTGATAAGGAGCAAGTAATTTTTGTGCCACACGATGAGCATCTACACTAATAGGGAACTGAACCATCCCCACTTGGTGCTCAATGACATAGTCATCACTGAATTGCTCACTATCAATACCCTGGTGTCTGTCATTGATTGGAAACTGTAATGGAATACTTATAAAAATACTGCAACTACAGAAGTAGATCAGAGGCTTGCAATTTTACAAGAGTTAACTCACATCTGATTCCCCAGTTCCTGTCTGTCTACAAGGCATAGATCAGGATCATTGTGAAATACTCCACCTGCCTTGATGAATGCAGCTCCAAGACTCAAAAAACATGCTATCATCCCAGACGAGGCAAGGATTGATTAGCACTCAGCCTCACATCGGCTTTTAGGTAACGTTGGCAGACTTAACAATCCACTTGGAAAATCACTGTATTATCAGATAAGTCAACATAGTTTACAGGGGAAAAACTGTATTTGTCAAATGTCATACAGAATTTTTTGAGGATGTCCAACTTTATTGCCGGGGTATTAGACTGCGGAAATTGTTATTCTACAAATTCTACAAATTGAAATTCTACAAAATTGTTATAATTTTTGTTACAAACGTGCAGGACTTTGGTAAAACAACACCGTCAAGAAGATCATCGAGCAAGGGTATATTTGTGTTGGAGTCAAATTAGTGTAGATTTCACTAGATTGGTTTGAGGAATGAGAAGATTGACCTGAGTTGACAGGCCTTTTGTTGATTCATTCATGGGATATGGGCATTGCTGGCTAAACCAGCATTTGTTGCCCATCCTACCTTTCACTTTAGAAGCTGGTGGTGACCTGCCTTATTGTCCTGTTGTAGACAGTCTCATGCAGGTACATTCACAATGTGGCTGGCATGGAGTTTCATGGGTTTGATTCTGTAACAATGCAGGAACACTGATTTAATTCTATAGGATTGAGAGTCTGTTTAACATGACGAGGATCTTAGCTGCAATGGCTTTATAATCTTACAGTTCAAAATGAAATTATGCAGAGGTAACTAAGTAACTGCAAAGATTTAGAGTAGCAATGATTTATGAGTGGTTGACAGGGAAAACTGAAGTTAAATGCGGTAAACACAAAGGTTTTGTCTGGTTATTTATTAAAAACACTTGAATGAAATATATGTGCTGGAAGTCTGGAGGCTTGCTTCAAATGGTGATATGATTTTATGTTTTAAAATATAGACCAAGCCAAAGACATGAGGTTACTTTTCTTAATTTATACTGATGAAACAAGAAGATTGATAGAGGCATTTGAACTTGAAATTTAGAAGCTATTAATTTAAACAGTGTTAGAGGAAAAGCATTCTGAATATTAAGTGCACACTTATAATATAAATCTTTTCTCTGTGTACATAAATTACACTATGCTAATAACCGGCATTGACTTTAAGTATGCACTTATTTTCATCATTGTTACTTTTGGTTGACAGGCGTATTTTACTGTAATGGGTTGGGATAATTGGTCAAGCACTTACATGGTCAGTGATTTGAACAGCACGGTTGATCAATGTTCCTTGAATTTGGTACCAACTGAACTCAGTCAGTCTGGAGTGGAAACTGACAAACTTTCTTGCAAACTATGGAAAAAGGAAGGAAATATTAGATATTTCCTGTGCATCAGAGCTAAGCCCAAATGACACAGGTTTCTATGGGTGGATCAGGTTTTCTTCAGTCATATAAAATGTCTACTGCATGATTCTAAATATTTCTTCTAGCAATTTTCATAGTTTTTTTTCCTTTCCTGTGATTCCACTTCAGAGTGAACTAATTAATCACAATGAGTAGCAACGGTAAACAGACTGACTTGATCAAATATGGATCAATAGAACAATTGAACATTATCAGGAGTGGTAGCCAGTAGGTGATGAGGGGGGATAATTTACAGCAACATTTAAGCACATTTAAGGAAATGTGGAACGCAGGACGATTGAATTAGGTGGAATGCAAAATTCTAAATGTTCAACTGTACATTGATGAAAAGAAATGAAGTCAGCAGCGTACTAGCTACATCAATCCTCATGCCTGCCAATGATGGACTTCTGCTTGTAATACATTCACCTGCCATGATTACCCAATGGCATAAAACATCTTTGAAAAATTAAAAAAATACACGTCAAGGTAAAGTCAGCAATGGACAAGAATTTCATGGCAATAAAGGTAGAAATTGCTGGAGAAATGCAGCATTGGTGGAGAGAAAGCAGAGTTAACATTTCAGGTACAGTGACCCTTCTTTGTGTTATTTGTTTAGAATTTCTTGTTCCAGTTCAATATTGTCTGGATACCAACAAGATCAGCTTTATTCAACATTACAGTACAAGAGTGGGAAACAGGAGACTGAAAGTGAACAGGCAGCAAGTCAGTGTTAAGAAATGTGTTCAGACATGAAGGAAGGAGAACAATATTCAAAGGAGAAGAAAGGGTGGAGTTCAGGACATGGAGAAGTGAACTGGAAAGCATTTTGTCTCCAGTGTCTGGTGGCGGTGGTGGAGTTGGTGTTGGGAACTGTCAGTCAAGGGAAGAGAATGGTGTCAGTGCTGTCCCAATGTGCACTCATCGCAGGGTGTTGGCTGGCAGTGCTCTTCCAGGACTGTGTATTCACCCACAGTACTTCTGTTACCAGTGTTGAGTGGTCTTGTACAATGTCTTCATAATGCATAGAAGGGAAGACCAGCTGAGACTGCACGTTCTAAAGAGCAGTGAGTATGACCATCTACTAACAGATATATTCAATGAATAGGAAACAAAAACACAACTTTGTTTCATCCACAACAAACTCCCCTGCATCCATCAATGCATGCCAGCTATGAGTACATTTAGCTCTCTAACCAGGCCAGTATCAAACAAACAATGATTCTCACATGAATAAAGTGAAACAAATGTAAGGTGAATTATTTACAAGTGAAATTTAATTTTGAAAATCCATTGCCACCTTTGTGCTCTCAAGTGTCATTTTAATGCCAATGGAGGTGTGCAGGGAAGTTTTGAACATGATTCAGAACCTCCCTGTTTCACCAGTGGGCTCTTTTATAGCATCTTTTCGTGGCTACACTATCAGTTGGTAACAGGTTTGCAATGAAAGTTGGCCCACTGTGGCATTATACATGATTCCAATGCACATCACTAGCACTTTAAATTTTTGTTGTTATCACATGGGGAGTAGGAATAACAAGACAGTGGAAATGACACCATCTTAGGTACAAGTACCTAGGTACAAGTCTTAGATACAAAAAAAGGAATAAGAGAGAAAAGTAGTTGCATTATTTTACAGAAATAAGATATAGTTAAAAGGGTAGTCATTACAATCAAATAAACAAAATACAAATATACATTACATTGCGTAGTTGAGCACAGGGGCTTCCACATGAGGGCTAACCACCTGCGCCAGATCCCAGTCCAACAACCACTCTGCTCCAAGCTTCAAGTCTGCTCCACAGCGGCTCTCAGCTGCACCAAGGTAAGTTTTTTCCAGGACTGC